ATTGTTGGTTCAGCATACAGTTTGAATAAGTATGGTGAAAGAATACAACCCTGGTTGTATTTCCTAATTTTAAACCATTCAGTGTTCAAGGTCAGCAGTTCCAGCTCACCAGCCACTCCTCAGAAACACTATATACTGCCTCTATGGGTCAGAACCAACTCAATGGCACATAACAACAACAATGCATTATCGAGCCCTGGTGTAGCGCTGTAAGATAAGCACTGGACTGGTAGCCGGAAGGTTGGCAGTTCAAACCTACCAGTCACCTTTGGAAACCCTCTGTGATTCGGAACCAACACAAAGGAACACAACAACACGATGCACTTACCGAAAGTTTCTACTCAGTAAAGTTCAGTAATACAATTATGGTGAGCGCCCTGCCTTGGGACCCAAACAAAGCCAGCAATGCCGTAGAGTTAGTTAGGAAGCTGGTGCCCATGCCTCGAGCCCTGAAATCCTGTGTGACTTCCTCTTCCTCCTCCTCCATGAGACCAGCCATCTCCTCACTCCACCACTCCATGTCTTTACCACCTGAGCCAGACAACATGCAATAACTGCATACAAGATACTGCGTGTCCACTCATCTACACACTGCCACACTGATGTGAAAGCCACACATGGGGTCTGTGTTCAATTTTACTCTGTAATGGGATATGTCTGTCTAGATAAATGACTCCTAAGCCCAAGGCCGTTTAAATATAAGGCAGCCTTCTTTATCGCTAAACTCCGCTCACTAGTGAATGCCCCCGCTCTCTGGTAAACTTCCTCTCATTGCTTTATCAGGCTAGGACCCTAAAGGGTCTCCTGCCTCCAACTCTCATTCTATGTCACAGAGGAGGATTACAAGGAATTTTGGCAAGTTGGCATTATTAGCGCAATGAAAAGGTTGTTTTCTTTCCTGAATCCATGTGGTTATGGGGCTACGGATGCAGACTCCCTTGTATTTGTCTTTGGGACGCCCTGAGTTTGATTTCTTTGGCCCTCTCTCCACCTTGCGGTTTGGCAGACACCCTTCCCTTATTCTCTGCAGGACCTGCTGTGTATCAGTACAGGGTCGAGGCACCTCTCTGAACAATGCACCTACGTGGGGGCTTTCCTGTTGAGAAAGGTCTGTGTGGGAGGCTTCACAAACATGAGAAGAGGAAGAGAAAGGAGGTTGGATTTCATAACCTCTCCCCAGGGCATCCTCTTACCCACTAGAGATGCTTTTGCTGGCTGGGGGCCACACTGGGTCCCTTCAAACAGGAGGATCTAGTGGGGTAGGGAGTCCTGGGTGATTCTGAAGACTAAGCGCTCAACTGCAAGGTTAGTTTGAACCGAAAGATCGGTGGTTCAAACCCACAGCCACTCCTTGGAAACCCTATACAGGGTCACTATGAGTCAGAACAACTTGACGGCACCTAACAACAACAACAGCTGAGTGGCTGGGGGTGAGGGGTAGGGGTGGGGGTGGAGGGAAAACACAGTGCCTGGTTTTACATGTCAACAACCCAGAGGGGAGTGGGGTCAATTACAAGTACATTTTCAAGAGGCTTAGTGTGTGACCTCCTGGGGAGAAAGTCATTGGGGAAAACAGAAAACCAATGTCCTAGAGGAATGGATCCCCAAATAGAAGACTCTGAAGATCCCATAGCCACCTTAATTAATTATCCCCTTGAAGAACAGATAGAAAGACAAAAGAACTAAGGGAAAGTCAAAATGCAGACCAGAGAGAGGAAATTCAAGCTTTAGGGAAAAATGAGGGGTCTGAAACTTCCTAGTGGGCCACAGGTCCCTCCCTCTGTGACCAACCAAGGTTAGGTTGATGAAAATTTGTCATATGGAAAAAGATAAGCAGTTATTCAACATCCCTGTCTAGCCCTGGATGAGAGGTATGAATTTAGGCTACACATGAGGAGTCCTGGTGTGGCACTGTAGGATCAGCACTGGACTGCAAACCACAAGGTCAGCAGTTCAAACCCACCAGTTGCTCCTCAGAAACCCTATACAGGTTCACTATGAGTCAGAACCGACTGGCCGCACTTGACAACAATAGCAACATGAGGAACTTAGTATGTCCTATGTGACGATGCAGCTAAGACATGGTCCCTTCTCCTTGGGTGCCTGTGCGAAGTGGTGTAATTACCTAACAACTTCCTGGAGCCAATACATCTTTAAAAAATGAATAGCCTGTTAGTATTGTGTCTTTGCTAAGTTATTTAATACACAACATTGCTTGGTCCAAGCACCTTGCCTTCATAGGCGGGTACAGCCACTAAGAACCCCTTGTAGGACATTAAAAGGGCACACTATATGGAGTCCTGGTGTGGCGCTGTGGGTTAATGCACTGGCCTGTGAAGTTGGTTTGAACCACAAGGTAGGCAGTTCAAGTTCACCAGCTGCTCCTCAGAAACCCTGTCAGGGTCACTATGGGTAGGAACCAACTCAACAGCCCTTAACAACAACAACATATGGAGTCCTAGTGTGGTGCTGTGGGTTAATGCGCTGGACTGTAAAGTCTGTTTGAACTGCAAAGTCAGTGGTACAAATTCCTCGGAAACCCTATACAGGGTCTCTAAGAGTTGGAACCCACTCGACTTGACGGCACTTAACAACAACAACAACACGATGATGACTGCAGTCTGGTACCTTAGTGTTAAGAGGAGGCAGCAGTCAGAGCCCCAAACAGAGCCAGGGCTCAACCAGGCCCCCTGCCCAGGTGCCAATGGGAGAGCACAAACTAGGATAGCCCTGGGCACCAGTCCAAAGTCAAGTGCATTAGTGGGCACCCAGTTCTAAGGCTAAAGCCATTTGTACCCACCACCAGGATAGCACTGGGTGTTCATCTTGACATGTGGTCAACTCGTCACCAAGCAGGGTGATCATAGCTGTGATTCTTCTTTTAAAGAGAGGGAAGGTGTACAAAAGGCCCTTCGGGGATCCTCCGTGTCCACTCTTGGGACTTCTCTGGAGGAGAGAGAGCTTGGTGTCATTCCTTTACTTGTTGTTGTTGTTGTTGTGTGCCATCGGGTTGGTTCCAACACAAAGCGACCCTATACAGGGTTTCTGAGGCTGTAAATCTGTACGGGAGCAGAAAGCCTCATCTTTCTCCCGCAGAACAGCTGGGAGTTTTGAACTGTGGACCCTGAGGGTCACAGCCCGATTCGTAACCACTACACTACCAGAGCTCCTATTCCTTTCCTTAGCCAGCCAATATTGACCCAGAACCTACTTTCCTCACTGTTCTTGTTGGTTACCATCTTGTCACTTCCAACTCCTGAGACCAAGTAGTCCCCAACTTAGGAGTTATGGCACACCACACTTAGAATCGTCCATTTTTTGTTGTTGTTGTTGTTTTACATCTTCTCATTAGTAATATAAACTACATACAGTCTTGGAGCATGCAACTTGCTGATGTTCTCATGATCTGGAAGTTTGTATGTAATGTGTCCAGCCCCCACAAACAAAGATCGTATTTATTAAAATGCTTATAATAAAAAGCAGTAATAATGAAAAGTTTAAAAACAAAAAGATAAGGTTTTCAACTTATATCAAAACCTCTTGTCATAGTCAGCAAGGTAACAACCGTTAGAACCACCCCACTGGGTTTCTTAGGCTGTAGCCTTTTGGAGGGTAGATTATTGGTAATCTACCTCAGGGTGGGTTTCATTTACTAACCTCTCAGCTAATAGTCAAGCGTTTTACCATTTCAGGCCCCAGGAGCTCCTTCCTGAGTACTTTGTTGTGGATGTTAAGTGCCGTGGAGTCATTGCAGACTCATGGGGACCCTGTATAGGGTTTCTAAGGAGCAGCTGGTAGGTGAACCACTGACCTTAAGGTTAGCAGTCCAGTGCTTATCAATGCAACATCAGGATCCTTCCTAACTATTGCTGTTGTTAAGTACCATGGAGTTGGATGCAAATCATAGCAACCCCGTATAGGGTTTCTGAGGAGCTGCTGGTGAGCTTGAACCTCCAACCTTACAGTTCAAACTGACTTTGCAGGCCAGTGCATTAACCCACAGTGCCATCTGGGGATTCCACTCCTGAGGAGTAGGTACGAGAATTCTAACTATGAACAAGTCGTGTCCTTGGGTACCTCACAGTGGAGGAGACACAGGAAATTACAATGTGGTAGGAGAGCGAATGCCGTGGAGGTGGAAACAGAGGAGGACTAGCTCGTACGTGACATCTGGGCTGGAGTGTCGTGCTGGCTAACCGGGCTCACCCTCCTTAGACCCACTCACCCAGGAGCCCCAGTGAGGACTGCTGATCCACCATTGCCCTAGAATTGCTTCCTTTCCACAGGCAAAGACATGGCTTCTGGATGGTGGCAGAACACTATGTTTGAGGGAGGCTTTTTCTAGAGGACTCAACTCTAAAACTAGCTATTGTGGCTTCTCTTGTGGGGTGTTTTGAGATTGGTTAATTAATGTTTACAAGATACACAGGGATCTGAGGATAAAAGGCTTTGAGGAAGGGCAGGCAATTATTTTCATAATGTTTCTGGTAATGGTCCAAACTCATAAAGCCTGGAGTCCAAAGACCCCCCCAAACACACCCTCCATGAGCTCTGCTACTCCGAGCTGCCAGCCACTGCCATGAGCTGACTGCTCGAATTGTATCCGACCAATAAAAATGAGATTAGAAAGTAACCACATACAAAACCAATAACAGAGAGGGATTTTTCATTTCTTGAATTGCAATAAAGGAAAATCTTGGCACCAGCTTAGTTTTTTTAATCCACTTCTCACCGTGTGTTAAATGACCGCCATGATCATTGCTGAATGTTTGTTTATGGGAAGCTGGCACTTGTCACGGTAAGCACCCAAGTCTGCAGTTAGAAAGGAGCCTGTGCGGTGAACCCAGGAGAGAGGACAGCGATGTCTCAGGGTACTCACATCCACACTGGCAGGGCTCTCTGGGTAGGGTGTTCTGACTGATAGGGCTTAAGGCCTGGGCCAGCATGCTGACCTCAGGAAATGTGAAAGAATAATAGAACATTGTTCTGAGGTAAAGGATTTCAAAATTTTTACTGTGAATAATTGGTTGCTTTCTTTAAGTGTTTGTGATCTCCAGTCTGAACTCTAGTCAGGTACTTCCTAAGGAGGAAGCAAGTGGATCTCAAGTATGACTTGAGACTGTCTTTTAAACCATCTGCACTGACCTCCCTGGACACGGTAGCTTTCTGTCGACATGCGCACGAACAGTTCCATCCTCTTCATTCAGAAGCATTCTGGTAGTGTGAGAGTTCTGAGAGGTCCAGAAGTTCGCAGACCAATTTCCCAGTAATCCCAACACACAATAGGCTCCGAGAAGGTGTTCCTACTGAGGGAGGCTTCCTCCTCCAAGGGAGTGTGGTTCCCTGGTTGGCAAGATATCCTGAGAACTAACCAGGGACTGAGCAGGTGTTTCTGGTGGCTGTTGATGAAGATGATTATGATATTCACACACTAAACAAATCCATCAGTGCAAGGAACCCAAATAGTGGAGATTAACAAGAAAAGCCCAAACTGGTCCAATATTGGAAAGACATGCTGAATGCCCCCCGCCAATGGAAACTCGCTGGTCAAGCGGCTGCTGGTGAGGAGGCGCTCCCACTTCCTACTGTGTCTGGACCTCAGACTTGACTGTATCTCAGATAGTATCAAAGACTAAATGCTTTGATTGTAGAACGTGCCCGATGGTCGTGATGTTATCGTGGTCTGAACAGAGGCCTGTTCCGTCGCCTGTGGGGCTGCTGGCTCACTTTTGCTATTTGTCTTGTCTTGCCCTCTCTGTAGCTACTACATGTTGGAAAACAGACCCAGGAACATCTACGGCATGGTCTGCTACTCCTGCCTCCTGGCCCCTCCCAACACCAAGGAATGTGAGTGTTTCCGTCCAGAATTGGCTGGACATTGACATTCTCCAGTAGGTGGTGATGGTGGTTATGGGTATCGGAGTCAGTTCTGACTCATACTGATCCTGTATGGGGTTGTCGAGGCTGTAAATCTGACAGGAGCAGAAAGCCTCCTCTTTCTCCCGAGGAGCAGCTGGTGGATTGGAACTGCTGAACTTTCAGTTAGCAGCCCAACGCGTATCCCACTGCGGTGCCAGGACTCCCGTTGTTGTACCTGGACAAGACTAATTATAGTGAAGACAAACACACTCCTGTTCCATATTCAAAAATGGCCTCATCCATCAGACAGTGGACCTCCTAAGGAAGATTTGCTATGTTGTTATTGTTGTTGTCGTTGTTAAGTTCCATCGTGTCGGTTCCAACCCATAGTGACCCTGTATAGGGTTCCCAAGGAGAAGCTGGTGAGCTTGAACTGCCGATCTTGCAGTTCAAATGGCTTTGCAGTCTGGCGCGTTAACCCACAGCACCACACCAGGACGCCAAGATTTGCTATAGTTCAATTATTTAGTGAGTCAGAGGCTGGTGTTAAGGGCTACCACCATTTAACCTTGAACAAGTCACTTAACGTGTATATATCGGTATAAGATCTAACCTAGGCATCTCATATGTTTATTGAACAAGTCACTTAACTTCTATATATCGGTGTAAGATCTAACCTAGGCATCTCCTATGTTTATTGAA